TGTTCTTTAGGGTCGCTATGAGCCGGAACCGACTCAATGGGAACAGGTTTGGTTTTTGGTTTGGAGGCAGACAGGAGGGAGAAAATGGAGTTGGGTTTCTAATGATGGAAAAACGGCATTAAGAGTAGGGTTGCGCAGTTGATTAATGTAACTGCTGTCAGTAAGTCGTACACTTGTAAAAAGTTGTGTGACAGACACATATCCAACAATGACAAAAAAAAGAGTAGCTGCTGAGGCTGCTTATTTACAGCCAAACATCTCACAGGATTTGGTTCCTTGGTTTGGACGTTTGGGGATGTGGTTTCATCAGACATCCCAGCTAATTAGCCTAATAACAAGTTTAGTGCTTCTGTTCTACCTCCTAGTTCACAGCTTAGTGCCTCAAGCACTTGCAAGCGGCCATCCAAGGCACAACAACTGGTCTCTACTGACCTGGAGCAACGGAGGAAGGAGAGTCAGGAATAGGAGGAGAAAATGGAATGTGTGCTTAATTGCCTCCACAAACAACTGCCTACTCTGGCATGAGGCCACAAGAACTGCATGTACCCAGCTACCATTACTGAACATTTTGATCAAAGATTTTACAGAAGAATCCTGATCAAAAGGGAGGAAATGCAGAACAGAAATCTAAAATGCTCATGGACTCCAGACTTTCTGGAGCCATGCAGGCTGGATAAAACCCTAAAACTATTGCCCTGAGATAATCTTTAAACCTTAAACCAAAAATACACCCTGAAGTCTTCTTAAAACCTAACAATAGTTTAGCTTAACTGCCTGCCTTGAGCATTGTGCTATTTTAAAAACTTTCTACATGGGGTCAAACTGACAACAGCAACTCGAAAGATCAGATAGGAAACTTAGGGGCCAGTGAGTTTATGTTAATGGGAGAGGAACAATGCAGAAAAGGAGGGTGAAAATGGTTGTACAAGTCAAAGAATCTAATTGATGGCATTCAGTTGCACAGGAAGAAATTGCTGAACTGGTGTATGTTCTGCATATTTCAACAACAACAATAAACTATTTTTTTAAAAAAGAGACTTAATTTCATCTTTAAATGCATACCCAACCTACTGTCCTATATTTTAATCAATTTGATAAAATATCAATGCATATAAATAAAATGCAGAGCAGTATCATACAACCTATGACTTTATAAAATCCACCTCTTCTCTACCGTTCAAAGTTTCCAGGTACAGTTCATTCCAATTACAGCTAAGTACTTTTAGAGAAACCTATTCACATGTCCCAAAAACGCCCTACAGTGATATTCTGTCAGGTACATTAGGACACGCAGTTGTAGATTCTAAAAAGCTACCAAATGAAAACCAGTGGGGTACTTTATGGAGACAGGGCACTCTCTTTGCTGTTCATGAAGAAGCTAAGGTCCAGCCTGTATCTGAAATGTACTGCTGATATAACCAAATGTTTTTATTGTGAACTTTATTATATTCACCTGATAAATTGATTACTGCACCTAATTAAATCTATATAATCCGAAATAATAGTGCCTTAAAAAATTATTAATATCTATGATTTTTTATATCAGCACCCATCCCACAACTGATAAGCAATTCTCACTTAATGTCTTGTTTGACAATATGCAAAAACATTTGCTATCCTCATTCTTAGACTACAAACTTCTACAAAACTCAGTATCAATTCAGAGCTTCTTGTGATAAAAAATTCAGGGGGTCCTTAAAAAAGCTTTTAAAAAAAGCTTTTCATTTTCTCTTTAAAAGCAGGTACCTGGAAGAACGTAATCAATGTCACTGAACTGTGCATGTAGAAATTTTTGAAATGGTGTACCTTTGGCTATGTATATTTTCACCAAAAAAAAAGCTCGAGAAGGGAGAGGGCTGACAAGTCGTGGGGTTGTTAACCAATGTCATAAAACAATATGTGTACTGACTGTTTAATGAGAAACTATTTGTTCTGTAAACCTTCACCTAAAGTACACCAAAAAAATAAATAAATAAAAGCAAAAAAAAAAAAAAAGTAGGTACCAAAAAATTGCTTTTATGCAAGGAAAACAAAACTATTTAGTACAAATCTGAATGTCTCCTAATAGCCTATAAAAGATTGAGTATACAGAAGTCTCACTCCATGCACTATTCCAGTGAAAAATTCCATACATGACCAGTCAAGAAAAAAAATTTTTTAAACACCAATTTTAAAAGCCAGGTGCCATATTTTGCCATTTTATGTTAACTCATTTAATCTTCACCACCACCTTGGGATGTATGTGTTATCCCCATTTTTCTAGAGGTTGGATTACTTGCCCATACTCACGCAGCTAGGATTCAAATCCATTTATGTCTGGTTCAAAGTCCTCCTCTCTTGACTATATACTAAATTATAAAGACATGACTTCTGAAAATTTTTCCTGTAACAAGGTCAAGAACCTGATCTCCTAGGTCAAGAACATTGGGGATTTACTCAAAATCAAACAATGATAAACACATAAATATAAAATATAATAATTATGAATTCCAGACACTCGTCTAATATTTTCCTGAGTACCTAGAAAAGGAGAGGTACGAACGTATCTACATATGATATGATCACACTGCCCATGCCTCAAACTACAGTCTCATATGAACACAGAATGTAACTTTGCAATATCTAGATTTTTTCCTCTTTATTATGATCTATACACATAAATGACCAGATACCCAGTAAAGTGTACAAAGGAGATAGAGTAACATGAGTAAAGAGAAAATAAGGGAGGGAGGGGAGGACCAACATCTTAGCCAACTATATAGTCCAGAACCTGATCGCACAAAGGAAATTCATTTTGGGTATTGTTTATGTATATTAAAAAGTTAGATGACCATCTTTGATTTTTTGGATACTCTTATTCTTTGTTGAAAAGCACATCAAGTGACTCTATCATAGAATTTCATTCCAGGTAAGTCAAGCAAGCATTTTTAAGATGTAAAATTTATCTGATTTTCCACACTGAAGTATTTGGAAGGGCCATGATGTATGTAACTTGCTCTAAAATGGTCCAGAAAAAAACATATATATATAGAGAGAGAGAGTGTGTGTGACACAGTGTGAGCAAATGATGAAGCACATGAGTTAAAGGGTAACAGGTGAATCTGAGTAAAGGTGATATGGATGTTCACTGTATTACTTACTCTTATCCTTGCAACTTTTTTGTAAGTTTGAAATTATTTCCAAATAATAAATTACAACTTAAACTGTATGGCATTCTATCTGAAGTTAACAACACATACTCGGATTAAACAGAAACATTCTTACAAATACAAAAACTGGTTTTTAAGGAAAAACTCAATGATTTGTGAGGAAATATGCACCATGTCCTCCCAACTAATGATCACTTAGAAGTAAATTTCGTATTACACTGCAACCTAATGAAATGTGGCAGTGGTGAAACCATACTAGAAAAGGAAGAGAAAAAATAGCACAAAAATCCAGAGTTTGGCATAACTGCTTCACAGATTTCATACAGGCCTGCTGCAAAATGCAGCAAATCTACAATTCAAGTGATATGTGATATCTCTGGTTTGCAGTTAAAATACAGACAAATGCAACAACGAAAAACTTGAACAATTTGTAAGATTTTTCCGCTGCACCTCAATTCGTAACAGTATACTTGAATCATCAAAGAAAACAAGGATGGAGAAGATCTATCCTCCTGGAGAAATGTTGCAATCTTTTCTTCTACAAGGTTACTATCATCCTGCCTGCCCATCACACTTTTGGTTTCAAGCGTTCACCACGCTTTCCTAAAACATAAGGATGTATCAGCAGAGAAGTAATGCTGGCATAAGTTCACCAAAATTGTGAAATCAAACATTAAATAATAAAGCTTTTCAGTTAACAATGAAATAACTTTAAAGGCTCATCTCTACCCCTTCTGCCGGATCCACCTTCAAAACTCTTCAGTAAATTCCCAGGTCTACCCTAATTGGATGGTCCTCTACTCAAGTAGTTCTTAACCTTTTTTTTTTTTTTTTTGGGGGGGGGGAGAGTAGATTACAACAAACATAATCCCTTTCCAAACAAAATTTTCACAAATGCAAAATTCTACACGTATTTCCAGGAACTTCCAGAACCCCAAGGCCATTATCCCCGCCCCCCTCCGAATTCAGCTTTGCATCTCCTCAACAACCCCCCTCATCACAATCCCCGGCTGTCCCCTGGAGAGACAAGAGTCCCTCCCTTCACAGAGTGGATTCCGTAACTGATCTTTGTCTCTTCGCCCAACTCCCTTCGCCCCGGCAAGGTCACTAACAGCCAACTACCCCTTTAAACCGAGCCATCACGGTAATAGTTCGTAACAGCCACAGCAAACTTGCCTGTCATAGGATATATTTTGTCCCCACGGCCCCACCTACCTTCCCCATTTCGGCCAGTTACGTCTTCCCCACTAGCCCATTCTACAGGAACAGCCGCCCCACCCCCCGGCGCGCCCCTGCCCCGCCGGTCCTCGTCCAGCGCCCTAGGCCCATTCCCTGCAGACCCTCCCAGGGCCTCGCTCCACCTCTCCCCTCCGCAGGGACCCTCCCCGTTCCCTCTCTCCCACCCCGCCGCAGCGCTCTCTGTCCCCTTTTCCGGCCGCTCCCACAGGCCCCCACGACCCCCACCTCCCTGCGCCCCCCGCCTGGTTCCAGCCTTCCCCGAGAGCCCTACTTGGCCTGCCTCCTAGCCTTCCACCCGGCTCCTCCCCTCAGCACACCTGTGTCGTCCCACCCCCTCCACACGTGCCCCCCCACAATTCATTCGCCTCCCAGCCGGCGGCCCCCATCCCTCCCTCCTGCTCCCACCCCCCCGTCACCCTCCTCCCCTCTCCCCTCCCGCCAGGAGAGAGCCCGAGAAGGAGGGCGGCGCGGGGGAGGGGAGGCCGCGAAGAGGCTGCTCGTTTCGGGGTTCGCCGCGCGCCGCGGACCTGCAGGGCTCCCCAGCGCCCTCTGCCTCCTCCGCCAACGGGGCGGAAACCGGGGCTCCCGGGCGCCTCCAACGAGGGTATTTACCTTCTTTCCAGGGCCACTCTGCAGACGGCTCCAACATTGGCAAACACTACAGAGAACTGACCCCGCTCGGCCGCCGCCGGCTTCCACCCC